CCCTAGTTTTCCTATTTTCAGAATGATTCTTTTCTTAAACTAGTCCCTAAACCAGAGTCAGGACAATAAGACATGGATTTTCAGTATGACCAGAATGTTAAATATCCCAAGTCACATTTTTTGATAATTTAATTACTCTGAAATGAAGCGAGAACAAGTCTTGCTGATTAAAATGAGACAAGTTGCCACCTTGTCACCATGGGTGAGGTACTTAAATACTGGTAGAGTCCCGTAGGTGACAATTGGGAAAAAACTGAGGTTTCCAGAAGACAAATCTAATTATTAAGAAGATAGTGGTTTGCCAACATCTCCTTGTCAGTTTTTGTACAACATCTTCTAAAGCTTGGGATTAACCTCTGTGCAAACAGGAGGTCTCCATTTACTTTTCATTTCTGCGTTCACGACTGAGTTTGGTCATGCTCTGGTTGCCAGTGTACCACAAAAGGCCTGCAGTGAAGACCTTCAGAAACCAGTGCATTTGATCCTTTCTAGCTTTGATGAACCTTCAGTGTCTGCTACAGAGCCTTTCGTGACACTAGGCCGCAGGAGTGTAGCTAAGCGCTGGATGTGCCCGGGAATGGAAACAAAACCCTTTGGGAACCTTTGTAAATGCCAGCCACCAGCACCACCATGGGACTGTTTGATAACCTTAGAAAGGGAAACTCTTTTTTTTTTCCTAAGTTTTTATTGTGAACTGAGTGATAGTTTACGTGGGAGAACATCGGTTTTACACTCATCGTTTCATTGCAGTGATTACAATCTCCTCCATGCATCATCATTCGGGAATATATAATAATTTAAAACAACCAAAGGGCATATTCTGCAAGCCTGCCTCCTGGCCGCCAGCTCTCAGTCACTCTCTTTCCATGAGTTTAGGGTCCTCAGCTGCTCTATTTCTCCATGTCCTCATCTCTGCCTCCATCTCTGGTGTTGCTGCTTCTCTGGATAGGGTCCCACATTCCGTAGCTCGTGCTCTTCTCAGGAAGGGAAACTCTTAAGGAAAAAACAGAATCTTCCGTGCTAGTAACTTTCCTTTCAAAATTCCGTATTCTTTGGTTTCAGGATTTTGTTTCTTCTCTGGTGGTAGTACCAGTTGGTTCGAGTGAAGAAGCAAACTCAGTTTCTCTCTCCTTAGGCACAGGACTTTCCTTTATTGGGTCTCCCAGGTATGCGGCGTGTGACAGCAATGGTCAGAGATTGTCAGGGTCATTAGCTGCCCTCCTGTCAGCCTTGACTCATGTCCACTCCGTGTGCAGGGAACAAAGTGCTGCCCCGTCCAGGACCACTTTCAGCATCAGCTGTAGAGCAGAGTGCTGTGATTCTTAGGGGTTTGGGTTTTGTTCTAGATAAAATAAGAGTGTTTATTTCTCCTCCATGGAGCAGCCCCACAGTGAGTGGGATAGGATGGTGGCAGCTCTGCTCCACGCAGCCTCTTGGGGACCCAGAGTGAGGGGGCTCTGCCACACTTTCATCATGCCAGCCAACGCAGGAAGATCAGAAATCCAGGAGCAGGTGGAAGTTAGCCACGTCCTTCCCTTCACAGTCCTCTGGTCCATAGAGTTTTCACTGGCTGATGATTTTGAAGTAAATCACCAAGACTTTCTTCCGAGGTGCCTCTAGGTGGTCTTGAACCTACAACCTTTCAGTTAGCAGCCAAGCACGTTAACGATTTACACCACTCAGGGACTCGTACCAGTTTGTTGCTCCTACTCTAGGGACATAAAGAAGGAGTCCTGGGTGGCGCTGTGGGCTAATGGGTTGGACTGCAAGGTTGGTTTGAACAGCAAGGTCAGTGGTTCAAGCTCACCAGACGCTCCTCAAAAGCAGGGTCGCTATAGGTTGGAACCGACTCGACGGCACTTATCAATGATAACAACAATAGACATACAGAAGGAATCCTGGTGGCATTTGAACCCATTCTGCAGAAGAAAGGTGTGACTTCTGCCTTGGGAGCCTTCTGGGACAGTTCTACACTGTCCTCTAGGATGTCTGGGAGTCGGACTCAACTCCATAGCCATGGGCTTACAGGTGTAAAACATGAGGGCCAGAGAGGGTTTCTACTTTTTAACCACCCGAATGTGGCACTGTAGGATCAGCACTGGACTGCAAACCACAAGGTCGGCAGTTCAAACCCACCAACTG